CGGGACCGAGGGTTCAGACCTGTTTGAACTCGGCTCTGAACTTAGGCTACAACTGCCAGTGGGCGCCCATATTTCGAAGTAAACTCGACCCCTGCACTTCAGGTAGGTCGCACAACATTTCAGCCCAGCTTAGGCCTGTTCGACCATCGAATCCTTCATTTCGACAGAAAGAAAGAAACTCTCGGGGAGAGCTGCTTTGTTCGAGAATCATCCACTTTTTGTAATTTGACAGCAAAATCTTGTATTCGGCTGATCAGAGGATTAAAGAATTAACAGATGAGGTCGAGGATCTGGTATTAAGCTTATTTTACATATTTGTATTAATAATCTCATAGAAGACATACTTAAGCCAGAAGGTAAAGGGGTTGCGAATAATAAATAAATAATATCTAATATAATATTTTTTAAAGAATTATCTTTTATATTTTCTCGGACTAAGAACTAAGAAAAATGGTCTATTAACGTCGATGAAGCGCCATTTTTAGAACTGAGAAGACACCAAGAAAATGGATTGCTTGTGCTTATAAATTTTCGTCTCTAAATGAAATTAAAAATTGAAAACTGAAAAGCCACTTAGGCCAAAAGGCAAAGGAATTACGAATAATAAATAAATAATATTTAATATAATATTTTTTAAAGAATTATCTTTTATATTCTCTCGAACTAAGAACTAAGAAAAATTAACTATTAACATCGACGAAGCGCCATTTTTAGAACTGAGAGGACACCAAGAAAATGGACTCTACTTATGCTTATAAATTTTCGTCCCTAAATGTAATTGAAAATTGAAAACTGGCCTATGAAAAATGGCCTATTAACCCTTTACATTCGAGAGGCCCTCTTTAGTCGCCATTTGATAAAATTTCGAAGATGAATATTAATTAATACATCAAATTTAAGATAATGTAACGATGTGCGAGGTATCATGTCAATTATTATACTATTTCTGCGTGCTTATAAATTTTCCCTAAATTTTTGTCCCTACATGAAATTGAAAATTGAGAAACCCCCGGAAATCCTGCAAATCTTACAAATGATATTTCGAATGCCAAGAATGAAAAATGGCGTGGAAAAGTTTACTCCGCTCGAGATATTCGACGTTCCGTCTTATAGTTACAGGAAAAATAATCCCACCGGAAGTCTCTGGCAGCGTTTCGCATCCGGGGGAAAAAATCGTGCAACTGGAATCCCCATCTTGGCTATTGGAAAGAGAAATCAAAGTTCGCATTCGGAGAGGAGGTCGTCTCCTTTTAAAGGGTCATGAGGTCACATTAAAGTCGAGCTCGCGTTACGCAGTCCCTTCTCGTCCTGTCTACGCACATACACCTTGAAAAAGCGGACGAGTCGGAATAAGGTCGACTTCTGCAAACAAGTGCAACCCCCCCGGTGACAATGGAAATCCTTTAAAACCGCGGTTAAGCCACCTTGCACCTACAAAACGGGGGGACAAAGGCCTCGGTAACTAGCTAAAAAGCCTGGTTTCCTTTTCTTTCAAGTACAATGCTTTGCCCGCACGTTTCTCTCGGTTCACCGATAGAGCAGTCGATTTCGAGGAGTATAATCATCGCGCGTACAGCATACCACGATTGTATCAGCGTTGCATCCGACGATGGTCTGGACTGCCACGGTGTACATCAGCGAGCCGGTGTCGCGATTATTTTAATCGAGTAACTGATCCACCATCGCTGTTTTCATCGAGCGACCGATGACTGTACACCTGGTCATGGTGGCGTATGTTAAGGTCTCGCAATTTAGTCTGATATATGTCGTACGTCGTTGGTTAATAGAATGGCAGAAAAGCCTCGGTGAATTACGGAAAATATTTAGGTAAAGAGAAATTTGAACACTGTGCGTGGAATACAGACCTGTATTGATAGATAGTATGATTCAGTAATTGCGCGTAAATCGTGTAGAAATTCAATGTAACGGTATAGCGAAACGTTTTTTGCTAATATCTTGCAAATTGAGGGAAAAATTGCTTAAAATCATCTGCTTGATAACTTTTATGTGTAGATATATTGGTCTTCCGTTTTGACAAAGTGAGAGATATATCAAGGTATGCTGTGCGTTGTTGGAAAGTATGGCAAAATAAGTGGTTCTAGATTGCTTATTTTTGCAGTTGATAAAAACGTACGATTGCTTTTAACGAAATCGATGTTTCGTTTATTATATTTGGTTTTACGAATGGAATTATATATTCCTGTTTTTCGTCTTTAATTATTTTTTAATTATTACTTTAATTATTATTACCTTGATTAATATTGCAGTATATTATTTTGCATATATTGATTATCGACGTCATACAGATTGCATAGAAAATATTTCTTATGTTACAAGGGAAAGAAATATTTAAGTACAGGTCTGCAGTTCTCATGTTACGTCGTAATATTCGTTGGAATGTAACTCGGTAATATTTACGACAAAAATGTTGTATTCCCCTGGAATGTTTCTCTTTAAATAGAAACAAAGAGAAGCAGCCAGCATTGACAACGGAAAGTTCCACCTTTCTCCATAGTAACATTCATACGTACGTTTCGCAGAAGCTGAATGGAATTCCATTACACGCTTCGGGCTAATCTTCAATTAACCGTCATACTTTCCGCTACTTAAATAATTTGTCAAAAGACAAGCCGCGGACCGTGTCTTCTGAAATTCGATAAAGGAGTCCGGAAATTTATAAAAACGAGATATCTCGGGCTTATTCTACGGGAACGATGCTCAAAGCTTTGTGATTTCCTGGTGAAGATACAATTATACAAATTATCCAAACCGTTAACGCTTTGGCAAGTGAAGTCGCGTATAAACAGCGAAACATTTTTATCTCCAGCAATGGACGTTTCATAACCATGATTTTAATACTTCAGCGTTCGCGCAGCCCCGAAAAAAGGAAAATAAAAATGGCGAGCAAGAAACTAATCTAAATTAACCCGATACGGAAATCATAAAAGCGTCGGAGGCAAATTTAACAATTTACAAATTTACAAGCAAGACGAATTCGACATTCGTTGCAACATAATTCGATGAACAGGCTACACGGCAAACACGTTAATAGTACAGAAGCTGAACTTAGACTTACGACGTTCGATCGAACGGACAAATTAGCACCAGCGTTGCATCGGTACGGGGGCAAAGCCCGAATTTCCTTGATCGAATGGTACAAGCGAAACTTTTAAATTCAACGTCTAAACTCGGCGGGGAAATACAAACGGAAAGAGACACATTAGCAATTAACGCCGCGATAGAGCCCATGCAAGATAGAAGCTTTTGGGGTTAATTAAGCGAATATCGAATCCAGCTGCACGTCTGTCGAAATTTCTCTTACATAAACTGAGAAGCACGTTTTCGACGCGACGGAAATTCCGTCACCGGAAGCCCGAGCCGAACTACTGTGCCAGGGTTAAGATTTAATTCGTCCAAGAGGGCAGGCGGATCATTAACGTAATCGTAAAATCGATGCTGCTTAATCTTTCGAGTTGTAAAATCCTCGCGTACCTCGTCATCGATGTAACAACGATCGCGTGGAGGGACCAACGTCATCCGGAGCCACCTAACTCGACGTTTCGTCTAAAAGACGAAGACGGGAATTTCTTCTCTGCTTGTACATACTACGTCGGATGCATCGCGATGTTGGCGCAAAAATAGAACGCTCGGTCTTGATTCAATTTCGAACGTCCGAATTACATCTGCCAGGATAAATCTGCGGCCAATCCATTCTCGAAATCAATTAATAACGATCCCATCGAGTCACTCTCCGAAATATATCGGCGTAAAATCGTGATTAGCGCCGGTTAATAATCCACGCATTAATCCACTGCTCGAGATAGTTCAAAGAATTATTAACTCGCGTATGGATGTTGCTCGATGAAGTATCTCTGATATTTCGCGATGGAATCGACGTGGTGCGATTATAAAATACGATATTCAAGGGGAAAATAATATTCCCCGTTTTTTCCTCGATATTTCGAAACTTTTAAGCGAGTTAGATTTCGCTGCTTGAAATTCTATTTTATTTTTTTTTAATATAAACAGGCGAAAGTGCAACGAGACGGATCGAGCCACGCTCACATTTTAACGTTCTGTTTATTTTCGAAAATGGACATTTCGATTGTTTTTCACCACTTCAAGGCACAATAACGGGAACTAGTGACCTATTCTGATAACCATCTAATAGACGCGCCATGCGGACCTTGAGAATAGAAGAAAATGCATTCGTGAATATAATACACTGTAATATATCCCTCTGTGGATGAAACGTGTTTGATTTACTTTTTACATATCCTAACGCTCCATCAGGCTATGTACTCTGTCAAACGTAAAGAACACGAGATCCATGTAAATTGGAGTCCTCCGACTCCTGAACACGACGAATGCATATTTTATTTACAAATTCCCCCACGCAATTATCCATTATCGTAAATTACTCGATGGGACTCTTAATTTATACTCGTGAAAATATCTAATTGGGCATGAAATTTCGGTAACGTTAATTCGATAATTACATTGACCAAAAACTTCCACTCCTCGAATATGTTACGAAGAAAAGATGTAAAACGTTATCCATAAGTGACCCAGTCTCCATCATGTATTAAACATTAATTATTATTATTTCCATATTGATACACTACGCTTCCGTTATTTCTAATAACGGAATCTACTCAGATGTTTCCTCCGAAAGTGCATAGAATTTTCGCGACAGCGAATGAAACGTAATAACAATCGATTTATTTCGCAAAATTATTTCTGTTTCACAAGCGAGCTCGCTTCTGAAAATGTCGTGCGCCGGTATTTATACGACGACCCGAGTTTACCAAGCATCGTACAACACCTCAGACGAACGGAGAGGAGAAATGCGCGCGGCTGCAGCGAAAAACACTGCAAGGACGCACGCCGGATGCTCATCCGTACATGCTGGCCGACATTCAACAAGTGACTGACACTGATGTCGCGCGAACGATATCCTACATCCTCTACCCTACGAATCGACAGGGTTGTACTGACAGGAACGCGCGGGGAGGACGGTCGTTCTGTCGAAAGGTCAAGAACGCGTGAAAAAAGTTGTATCATTCGCTATTTCTATGCGCGTTTACCAGACAAACAGAATAACGAGCGTACTAAAATACTTGGAATAGTCGGTGGTGAACCGGCGTTTCGCGTAACCTCAATATCAGCAACAGTAAAACAACTTTAGACGCTGCTCGTAAAACCTGATAGGACGCTTTGGAATCGTTTAATGCCTCCTTTCGTTGGACTCGATTAAAAATCCGCTCTTCACGTTCGCACGTAGGATGCAAAATTGGATATCCGTTCGTGTGAGACGTTAATTAGCCACGCGAAAACATCGCCTCTGAATACTCCTGAAAATGAAATTTGAACGTTAGCATTGTTGTTATTAATCCGGCGTATTGTTAAAAAAGGGAGAAAGAACGTGATGGCGGATTTCAATAACAGAGTGAAACGCGGAACGTAACAAACGAGATGCGACGGGATTAATAATTTAGCAATTGAAAGTGCAATTACTCACCGTGCTCGCCAATAATTTCAAGTGACTGAAGGGCCCGTGAGACACACGGAGAGTATCTCAAGGGTTAATTCTGCCCGGTATCGTTGCGGAGATTTCCAGCCGATCGATCATTGACTGGTTACGCCAATGCAGCCATCTATAAAACCACCAAAAATTAACGCGAGACGATAATTGCTGCACCTATTCCTCGAAATATACACGATCAGCCTCGTTCATGCCTCTCCCGCGATCATCGCCGCACTTACAAGCGAGCTCGTGCATATCGGCATGAGCGCCGTGAAATTGCGTCGTTACTTTCCGGCTACGGCTGAGATAATTAATAAAACTAACTTTTCATTCTATCTAATTAAATTCAAATTTCATTAGGCTAAAAGTTTCGTTTAAACACGACTAACGTGCTTCCGTTCTACTAGCGTCTAGATGCCAGGGATTATGTACCAAATGCTGTATTTGTTTCTTTACTAGTCTCTGCAGAATTACTTTTGCTTTTGCCCGTGTGCGTTTTACGATAATATAAATTTAATTGCAATGAATATGTACATCGAATGTAATTGCATTACAGATGCAACGACGTTGATCAACATCGCAAAATAAACATATGTTTAACGAGATAAAGAAAACGAGACAAATATACAATGATACACTCGAAATAAATGAATAGTTTCAGGATATCCTGGCGATAAATTTCAATTCATTAGACGAGAACTCCGTTTATCTAATTATGTGTGGAAGAAGTTTTATTACAAAATCTAGTTCGTCGGTTAAAAGTGAGGAAACAATATAATTGATTATTATAACTATAATAATACGCACTACGTTACACGATTACGCACAGTAGGTAGGTAAACTATTATATTGATTATCATCATTCAAAATGAAATGCAATTTCACGTGATATTAGTTATAAAAAGTAGATTAATGCAGAGATTAAATATATTCTGGATAATCTTTACTCGTTTTCGAAATACACGTGCGCAAAGTAAAAGCTATACATAGAATAGTATTCATAATTAACGATCGAATATCATACTCGCCATTACTCGTTCCCTGTGTTCGTTAATGTTCGTTGATTTCCGCTGTACCTTCTTTATCTAACCTTCAAACCGGTTGACCATCGTTCGTCTTTACGTCGAAAAATTATATACTCGAACTGATCAAGGAATATGAAGAAATCTCTGGCTACGATAACTACGAATATTTCTGAAATTCGTCAAATGAAAATATCGATTTGAATAGTAAGGATGAACAAGAGTGCAAGAACCTAACCTCGAAATGCATCCGTTTACTCGTGCGCGCCATCGTCAGATGATGGCGCTGTTTCCGTAATTCTTGACAAGCATCTCTTCCAGCTCGCCTTATCTTCGAAATTGCACGGTCCCTTTACAGTCACTGTAAATCATCGCCGTGCGCGTTACTCGTTCTACGAATCGAACATTTCAAGCAACTTGTAAAAATACCCGTTCATAATCATATATCCAGGACGGAGTGTTCGGCGTAGAACTTGCTTTGTATATCGAACGACATCATTGCTGGAGTTCTCGTAATGGCGGCGCTCGCTGCACGGGGCCCATAGGCGCGTAAATATCAGCACGGATGAGCGCCAACGAGCAAAGTAAAGAACTGGCTTTACTCTCTGCTCATCTCGAAGCAGAAGAGAAAGAGGGATAGAGAAGGAAACTAGTGACAAAGAACGAAAAAGAGGGGCTAGCAAATAGAAAAAGAGAAAACCGAGGGGCCGTCATAATTCCTTGAATTGAACGGCGGGTTATTCTCCACCAAGGTTACCGACGTAGAGGTTGAACGAAGCAAGCGGGCCAAGCAAGCAGGCTAGCAACCTAGCAGGCAGACTAGCATGCAAGCAAGTAAGTAAACGAGCAAGGCAGTCAGGCAAGCCAGGCAAGCAGACAGGCAAGTTGGCTGCCAGTGAGACGCAGAGAGAAAAGCGAAAGAGGGGGCACATGACGAGTAGGATGAGAAGAGGTTGGGTGAGAGAGGAAGGAGGAAGGGAGGGAATCGATAGAACGACAAGGACGGTGCGCGAGTATATACCGCAGCACGGCAGCATCAGGCGTCGTCGGCGGTATATGGACTTGGATCAGACGGGCGGAGAGAGGAGGGTAAAAACGTTTCGAGGCGTCCCTGTCTGGCGGCGCCACCGTTGCGTCGCTGTAGAAACGTGGTACCAATGCTGATGGTATATGTGTGAGTTAGCGGTAACGATGTAGAATAAGGCAATGTTGGTAGTAGTGGGAATATGGTGGGGGAAACGTCAGGCTGGCAGGCTCGTGGGAGAGAGAAGTGAACGGCGGACAACGAGAGCTCATGGGGCGACAAGGAAGGGGATTGGTCGAAGCGTCGGTACGACTGGGGGGAGGAAGGAGGGCAACATGATCAGGTCGGCAGGCTGGTGAGAGAAGGAAGAATAGAGAGAGAAGGGGAGAGAGAGAGAGATAGAGGAAGAAACGTTGATGTCGAGCAGCGAGGTGAGCGAAACAGAACGAGGAGGGGAGTGGACGGGCGGTTGGTCGACAGCATGGGTGAGGGTCAGAGGGGTAAGGGGAGGTAGAGCCGACTTTATGCAGCTGCGGGACGATAACAACGATGGGCTACAGGACCGCCGCTATAGCTGGGGAAATGCCAAATGGGCTACAGGACGGTGCCGGCCTAGCTGTACGTTCGCTCGCTCGTAGTGGCATGGCGGACGGGCGGTAGAGAGAAGCAGGCAGGAAAGGCGGGAAGGAGAAAGGGATTTCAAGCGGTCGTCTCTTCTCGTCTGCCTCTGCGCTCTACCTACCTATGTATACCTACCTACCTACCCGGCCCGGGTGCTCTCTCCGGGTACTCTTCTCTCCACTGCGTGGAACGTACCGTCCTGGCCGTACCTAACCTCTACTGTTTTCTGCGGCTAGCGCCCTTGCTGATGTTCCTCAACATCGGAGCACGTAGCCGCTTACGCAGACTTCGATGTCATTCATCTTGAGCGAGGTCGATTATTGTTCTCTTTCGGGAACCTCGTGTCCTTACGAGCATGATGTCAATGGTAGTTAGAACAGTAATGGTCTTTATTAAAAATCGTAGAAAAATAATTCGTAAAATATTCAATTGTACAAATTTATAAGTGTTTGGTTCCAAAGTTATTTCTACGTTTAATCGCTTCCATTGCAACTTTTCCAGTGCAACTTTTTCGAACGATTGCTCGAGATGAAATATCTACATACGTCAACATTCCAAGTATCATTATTATGTAGATAATTCCAATATTATACCAACGTTATGCTACGTACTCTACTGTTGACACGAGTAATATTCTTCTTTATTTGGAATAAATGACATTCCATGTTCGCAATAAAATTTCTCTTACAATTAGTAGTATGAATGAAATGCTGGAATTATAATAAACGTTATATTAATAAACATCAGGAGAATTTGAATTCGTGATTTAATAAAACGTATTATGATTTCTCAGTTGCTCGAAAAATACCAGCAATAAGCTAGACGGTACGTGAGAAATAGAGGAATGTATATATATACACAAAAAAAGAAAGAAATATATATTATACGTGTATATTATGTATATAAAGAATACACGACCCGTAAAAATCCATATTTAAAACACCAGGACTTCGCCTTCATGAGCGAAATTAATAATTCGTCCCTTTTCTTTCTTTGTCTCCCACTTTTATACCAGTCTGTCCCCCTAAATTCTGTCTGGGAAATTTAGATTTTAGTGAAATTTGGAAAAAGCACACGAATAGATAATTCTTGGCTGGAATTCAAAATAATTTTTCTAAATGATCATAAATTCACGATTATCGGGGGAAAAATAACATTCGATTAATGCAATACAGGAGAAATCTAAGTTTATCATGTGTTTGAATTTGCCGCTGATTGCTGTAGGTAGATATATAGAGGCGCGAGAACAGCATGCTTTCGACAATCGTCGACGAGATACGTCGGTCCACGCAATGACGTCAGAGGCTGGTCCAATCCTGTCGAATACGTCCGTGGCCCGATCTCACCCTATTGAGAGAAAGAGAAAGAACGATGCGATATATACGTTGGTAAAGCAAGCTAGATAAGGACAGAACGACACGTATGTATATAGATATCGACAGAGAGGAAAGAGACAGAGAAGGAGAGTCGCAGAGGGACGCAAGAGCCAGCAAATGAGAGCACAGTCCGACAAATAGAAGGAGAAGACAGTTCGAGTTCCGCTCTCCTGCTCTTACGAGACATCGTGCACGCCGATTCGAGCCTTGCGATATTGTTGCCAGAATTGTTCGTTACAATGTTCAGAATATTCCCGATGTTGTGACTGTTGGGATAAACTTCGATTTTGTATTACATATGACGCGTACGTGCACGTATATATGTATATAAATATTGTTTTCGAGCAAAAGTATGAAAGAGGTTATGATCGAGAAAATAAGTGTCACACACGTATCGTCTATTGTATCGAAATATTTAAACTTAATATTTTATCGAATGTTATAGTTTTTACCGACACGATCGATAACATGAGGTAATCGAATCGAAAATTTAATAATGTTTTACGTATTTATATTAAATTTTAAGATATTTTAAAACTTGTTCAAAATTTTAGTTGAAGAGGTTATTACGTCTATAAATTCGATACTCGCTAGACTGTAGAATTTAGAATTTCAACTAAAAATCCCGTATTTCAAACTTCACTGCCTATTTATCGACTAGAGATAGTAATAAATGGACTTACAAATTGGTTCTCTCTACGAAATTGTTCGTTGCCATTGCTAACTAAAACGATCAGTTATTAAAAGTCAGATATGTACTGTAGGTATGTATATAGAAAGGAAATAATACAATGTGTATACTATTTAAAAATTAAACGTATAACATTGTCATTATTGATCATAGTGAAGTACAACTATTAAAACATAACTAATATAATAATACAAATTAACGAAGTTTAAAAATTATAATAGTTCTGTTAAATAACGTAAACAATTATATCAACATTAATAACATACAATAAAGGAACATAAAACAAGTTCTGTATTACTTTTAAGTGCATTGAATATAATTTAGGGAAAGGAATAAAAATAAAAATTTTATTTTACTTTAATTACTCCAATAATGGAAATTACGGCAATTCCGCGCTCGTGAGATTAAACATTTCATTTTTTAAGCTATTAATAAGCGACGAGTATAATATTTAAATCGCGACTGTCTCCAATGTTATGATTTCAGTATTAAATTTGTAACATTCAATGAAGCTTCCAAGCAAATCAAATAATTTTATATTATGAAAATCAGATATTTTTTTACAGACTTTTAAGAAACATTTACCAGCATAGGAACAAATTAAAAATTAGGATTCATTAACGATATATATAATTCTAACATTAATAATAATAATAATAATGCTAAAGTTAAATATATTTCATAATTTAAAAATGTCTTTACTTATAATACTCAATCAGGCGAATATCTTGAAGATTTTATATAATAATTATGATATGATTTATCATAAAATAATAATTAGGAGTATTATATCTTTTTCTTATAATATTTCATATTTTTCGCGGATATTTTTTGAAAACCAAAAATTTAATTTTTTTGAAACATGTTTAATTAGATGTTTAAATTACATTGCTATAGTATAATTAACATTTTATAGAAGACCTAAATTTAATTAAATTTAATTAAAGAAAATTCCAGAATGCATCATATATAATATTAAATTATTTAACACGATCAGTGTCGAAAATTATTTACAATCGCAATCGTTTAATAATATTAAATTAATATTTAAGAAAGCTACTTACCTCGTTATACTTCATGTAATGATATGCAGTCGCGTTAATTTTTGTACCAATTTTTTTATACAATTAATAAGATCATATTTGATATAATAACGTAGTGTCAAAACTTTACTCGTTACGTGATGCAAACTATAATATTTCTTATAAGATAAAAATAAAATTATTAAATATACATTATTAAATATACAATAAAAATGATTGTAAAAACTGTTAAATGTAATGTTATTTTTAATATTAGTGAGTATGTAAATATATAATAAATTACATATAAAATGGTTGTAAAATATATGAGAGAAAATTATACGGTGTAAAAGTTTATTATATTTAACATGAAAAAATATATTGTTTAAATATAAAATAATTTGAAAATTACTTTAATAATAATATTAGTTAAATAAAATAATAATAAGCAATTAATATCATATTACAATTTATTTCGTTTAAATTACATCGTTTAAGTAATTTATATGCAAGTAATAATATAGTTTTAAAACTAAATAAATATACTTGATGCACGTATAAAACTCAAGTGAGAAAGTAGGTTTAATATAGCTATGAATAGCAATTTATGATATTCTAAAAAAGATTTATATAGCTAATAAACCCTCAAATATTTTTCGAAATATTTAATTTAATTATAGAAAGCGGAATTTTATATAACAATAAAAGTAAAGTGCATTAAATGCAAAAATTAAAGTAAATGTTATTTTACATGAGAGTTTAAACTC